ATTAAAAGAAATTGTGCATCCTTTCGTAATGTCTCTGTTTTAGTGACTCTATTTAACGTCTACTGTAGGAGTACTCTGGAATATGCTTGTCCAATATGGTCACCTAACTTCAAATATTTAATTCGTAGCATTGAACGAGTTCAATCCAAATTCCTGAATTATATAAAATTCAAATCTGGCAATTTGAATTCCAAGAACGTCATCATGGCAAAATATAATATTATACCGCTTGAAGACCGCCGGAAAATAGCTGATGTTCTAATCGCAGCTAAACTACTAAAAGGAACTCTGGATTGTCCTGAGCTTCTCAGTGCTCTCCAATTCACGATACCTCAAAGAACTACCCGATCAAGACAACTTTTTAAAGAAGGTACCTATCGATACAACTACACTATGAGTCAACCGTTAGCAAGGATCCCTGCTACTTGCAATGAGTTTCCAGAAATAGACTTGTTTTATAACTAAACTCACCGCAGACCTTCTGAAACGACAATTTTTAACCAAGACATCGACATCGACATAACATTTCACTTTTTACTGTTTTTTTTTTGGCATTGTATGAGCGATTTAGATTTGTTAGATGTTTTTTTGAATAGTAGTTTAAGTAATTTAATTTATTCTTACGATTAATATCTAATCATACATAATTCTTTTTTACTAAAGATGCGTTATTTTGATTACATATTAAGTAAAATATGTTATTGAAATTAATGTCTAAAATATTGGCTTGGCCGTCAATAAAGATATATTACTATTAAAGGGTGCTTTTGATACCACGCCAATAACATATTATTTTAATAAACACATTAAGGTGTTAAGAGCGGTTCCTGTTCACTGAATCCAAATATCTTAAAGGACAATAAAAGAAACGTAATGAAATGGGTCACAGTGCGATTCAGTTCAATTTATTTGTATTGGTGAACGGCAAATGCGATTTGTTTTAAAAGAACGAGATCTCTTTTAAACGAAACATCGGAAATTGTCTAACTAATAAAGGAAACGACGGAAGCCTTTATGGCACTTGGCCGATTACGTACACACAGGTACACGTATGCCATTGTTCCGAAAATGAGTTCCCTTATCAGCTACGTTCGCACGGCATAGGGAATCTCAAGAAACAAAGGATCCCTCAACGTGTACATGCGCCGAAATTTTATTACATCACGCAGCGAGAGGGACACGTTTTGAATGCGGCGATTTAAAAACAAAACATAATCCGTATTTTTTGCCGCGCGCTAAATACGTGCCCTAACGTCGCCCTTTAATTTAACATGAGTTTCCATTACGGAAGCCTTGCCACAAATTATTACAATCCTCTTTCTGACACAGAAAAGCTCGGCGAAAATATATTACGTACACGTTAAAATAACCGCAATGTGACGAAGAGGTCGCCATGAATAAATAAAACGGGAACGTAACCTGTAAAACACATAAAACCTACGAAGGCGCGCGTTACCAAAATTACACTCGAGCAGTATAATTGATTTTTGACCCCCCCATTCCATAATGTTGCGCCAGGTTACAGCCCTTTGAATTTTTTTTCGAAATTGGTTTCTAGTCTATAACTTTTGATTGAGAAGTCTGATCGAAAAAGTACGAATTGTTTGGATTCTACGCACCCAAATTAATAAGAAAAAGTGTTTTCCCGAGAAATTTTGGTGTAGTCGATTTTTGGTAAAAAAGGAAGGTTATACACTGCCTTTTTTTGAGCCCCGAAAAAAAAATTGTCTCAGATTGTCTCAGATCGACCGGAAAAAAAATTTTCTTATAGAATGTGGCCTGTAGAATCCATAATTTCAAACAGTTCCAAGATTGGGCTACTAGTTCAAAAGTTACAGCCCTTTGAATTTTTTTCGAAATTGGTTTCTAGTCTATAACTTTTGATTGAGAAGTCTGATCGAAAAAGTACGAATTGTTTTGGATTCTACGCACCAAAATTAATAAGAAAAAGTGTTTTCCCGAGAAATTTTGGTGTAGTCGATTTTTGGTAAAAAAGGAAGGTTATACACTGCCTTTTTTGAGCCCCGAAAAAAAAATTGTCTCAGATCGACCCGGAAAAAAAATTTTCTTATAGAATGTGGCCTGTAGAATCCATAATTTCAAACAGTTCAAGATTGGGCTTCTAGTTCAAAAGTTAGAGCCCTTTGAATTTTCTTTCGAAATTGGTTTCTAGTCCATAACTTTTGATTGAGAAGTCCGATCGAAAAAGTACGAATTGTTTTGGATTCTACACACCAAAATTAATAAGAAAAAGTGTTTTCCCGAGAAATTTTGGTGCAGTCGATTTTTGGTAAAAAAGCAAGGTTATACACTGCCTTTTTTTGAGCCCCGACAAAAAAAATTGTCTCAGATCGATCCGGAAAACAAAATTTCTGATAGAATGTGGCCTGTAGAATCCATAATTTCAAACAGTTCCAAGATTGGGCCACTAGTTCAAAAGTTACAGCACTTTGAATTTTCTTTGGAAATTGGTTTCTAGTCTATAACTTTTGATTGAGAAGTCTGATCGAAAAAGTACGAATTGTTTTGTATTCCACGCACCAATTAATAAGAAAAATTGTTTTTCCGAGAAATTTTGGTGCAGTCGATTTTTGGTAAAAAATGAAGGTTATACACTGCCTTTTTTTGAGGCTTGCAAAAAAAATTGTCTCAGATCGACCCGGAAAAAAAATTTTCTTATAGAATGTGGCCTGTAGAATACCTAATTTCAAACAGTTCCAAGATTGGGCTACTAGTTCAAAGTTACAGCCCTTTGAATTTTTTTTCGAAATTGGTTTCTAGTCTATAACTTTTGATTGAGAAGTCTGATCGAAAAAGTACGAATTGTTTTGGATTCTACGCACCAAAATTAATAAGAAAAAGTGTTTTCCCGAGAAATTTTGGTGCAGTCGATTTTTGGTAAAAAATGAAGGTTATACACTGCCTTTTTTTGAGCCCCGAAAAAAAAATTGTCTCAGATCGACCCGGAAAAAAATTTTCTTATAGAATGTGGCCTGTAGAATCCATAATTTCAAACAGTCCCAAGATTGGGCTACTAGTTCAAAAGTTACAGCCCTTTGAATTTTCTTTCGAAATTGGTTTCTAGTCTATAACTTTTGATTGAGAAGTCTGATTCAAAAAGTGCGAATTGTTTTGAATTCTACGCACCAAAATTAATAAGAAAAAGTGTTTTACCGGGAAATTTTGGTGCAGTCGATTTTTGGTAAAAAGGGAAGGTTAAACACTGCCTTTTATTTGGTACGAAAAAGAAATTGTCTCAGACCGACCGGGAAAAAAAATTTTCTTATAGAACGTGGCCTGTAGAATCCATAATTTCAAACAGTTCCAAGATTTGTCTTCTAGTTCAAAAGTTACAGCCCTTTGAATTTTCTTTCGAAATTGGTTTCTAGTCTATAACTTTTGATTGAGAAGTCTGATCCAAAAAGTGCG